AATTAATAAGTACTTATTTTCATTTAATAAAAAATTATTTGCTAGTTGATTGGTTGTAAAACAAATAAAGAAAAGTAAGGGTATTGTAATTTTTTTGGATGAAGGTGCATTTTCGTCCTTGAAATATTTTTTGATGAGCATCTAGAATGCTTCATTTTAATAACTTTAAGAGTAAAATTGCTCCGATAAAAATGTTAGGTGTTAGGTACTCTTCGAAAAATACTTCAGAAATAAAAATATACCTTTATCTATTTTTTTATTTAAAATTATTTTTAAATCAATCCCCCTAATTGTGCAGTGATGTTTCAAAATTTCTTGGTTCTCGTTTGACATTAAATTACTTTCATGATCTTTGAATGATATTTTTCCTAAATTCTATTGCAGAAGACAACAAATTATCAAGAGACGAAAGCTATTGAGAACGTAATGTCGATTATGAGGGACTCTTCTGATGGCACTGTTCTTGTGGCGATGGGACATTTGCAACGTTCCATTCGGTTCAATCGTAAAGGGTTTTCTTTCTTCGTTTACTTGGACCAAGTCAACCCATATGCACAGGCACATGGCTTCCATAATAACCAAAGCTATGTCAATCACACTACTATTAAAAGGACTACGTATATTTAGAACACGCACCCAGACACAACGACATAATTCGGAGACATTCGAAATGATGAAATTTCCATGAGTCAAGTCATGGCAAGCACGCAAAGACATTAAAAAAATTAAAAATCATAGAGAATCAAACCCACCACATTAATACATTTAGACTTTGTACTTGAAAAGCAGTATCACACTTCACACATCTTTACGTTACCATTTAGAAGATGATGAATATTACATTCAAGGCTGATGTATTGAAATTTTACTAGAAAAGCAGAAAAACTAGCTAAAACAAATATCAATTATTAAAACAGATTTTAACAATATGTTACGAGAATATCTTTAATTTGTTTTTTTGGGATAAAATATTTTTTCAATATCTAAAAGATTACTCCCTCTATTTCTATAAATAAGAATAACTATTATTTATCATTTTGTTTTTATCTATAAGCAAAATCACATCTCATAATAAACATTTATTACAATTTTTTTAAATTGCCTTTCATAAACTCATAATTTTTGTTCACGTGAATGGTTAATGCGGCTTTATTTTTATTAAATAGGAAGAATTATTTTGAGGTTCCAAACAAAATATTTAAATATTACAAGACCTATTGACAACTGATGAGTAAAGACAATTACAGGAATTGTCATTTTCTTTTATTTAGTTGCCAATGAATCTTATAATATTTAAATATGTTGTATGGAACTTGTATGTGATTCTCCCTATTATATACAAGTGTATTATTCTTTTGCGTAGTTGTCAATTAACCATTATATTGAGGTTCACGGTTGCAGCACACTGCTGCTTTCAGTGGCACACGCTCTGTTTTCTCTTAAAAGAAATGAAACCATGAGACATTGAAGCAGGCATGTGCGCAGCGGGATTTGGATTTTTTTAATGTTTGTTTGGTTAAAAGGAAGAGGAAAGCATTGATTTTAATAAAGGGGAGGGGAGGGGAGGATTTTAATGGAGAGGAAAAAAGGATTTTTAATGTTATTTTATTTGGTTGAAGAGGTGAGCGTAGAAAAAATAATTATATATAAATAACTTTACTCTTATCTTATTAAAATTGTTTTTCTAATAAAATATAATTATGAATGTTTTTAATATGTAATTATATATTGTTAAATATATATGATTATAATTATAGTACAAAATTATTACTTGAAATATATATACACATAATTTTATCTTTTATTTAATGGTAAAATAGGCAGACTCATGTATTAGTTATTTGCAGTCACCTATTTCAAACTTAGCAAGCAAACCATAGATGAATAGCAAGCAAATTTAGAAGCTTGTGAATGTCCCATTCACTTTGCCACCATGGTTATGCTCATGAAGAAAAGCATCAATCAAATGTTTATCCATATTAGTAGTCCAAGCCAAGTTCTGTCCACTGGAGGTAGTGTCTGTTTCTGACATGCATTTTTTTTCAAGCCATTCTATAATTCTTATTGAATAGTCCAAGGCAAGTTATCCTACTTATCATCTCTTACCTTTTAGAAAGCATAAGATACATGGGAACTAGAAGGAAAGCAAATTGATGCAATATTAGCTTACAAAGACAGCAAGAAAACAGAACAGACAAGTAGAATGCCTATCAATTTAATTTCGTCACAAACACAGCAAATTGATACAATTATAACTTACAAATTCAATCACATTTGAATGTGCGTGTGTTGTGGAGGAGAGGGAAGGGGAATCATATTCTAGACACGTAGTTATTAATTTAATTCCATCCCTTTTTGCTTTGTGCCAAATTAATCATTTTACTTTGAATCATATTACCTAGATTGTCAACTTTGTCTGCTTAGGTAATAGCTAGACACGTAGAATGCCTATTTGACTCTGCCAATATGAAACATGCTTGTTAATTACGTTGATGGTTAGAACATTGATGGACTCCCAAGCAAAGTGATGCATTATTTGTAAATAAATAAGAAATTAGTTAGGGTACTTAGTTGTCGTTGGCTTGTGTCGACACATGGCACAAGAACTTTTTTTTTGTACGACAGGCCTTTGGATAATGAATGGAATCTAATAAAAAACAGAACAAAATGCAAATGAAAAATCAATGCAACGGATCAACACAAATGACAATAATAAAAAAGCAAATCATGCAACTGTTTTGCGCAGCAACAATAGAGGGGAAACAAAATAGAGGGTTCGGCCAAAAAAAGAGAAAGAAAATAGAACAGAGTGGCTAATGCGAAACCTGAAGGAAAACGGTGATTGAGATTTGGACGGCGACGATGACAGTGATGATGACGTGGGTTGTGACGGTGACGCTCACTGCTACTGGTTACAGTTGGGAATGGTCCGAGAGCAGCAGTAGGGTCATGAGGAGGAAGAAAGTGAAGTGATTAGGTTTTATTAGAGAGGGTAATTTTGGATTATCAAAATATAACATGGGTAAATTAGTTTCCATACAACAAAATTTTACCCCTTTCCTCCAAAGCCTCCTATTTTGGAGAGAATGGTTTGGAGGGGAGGGGAGGAAAATATTAAGAAAATTTTCCTTCCCCCTTCCCTCTTATAAACCAAACAGGGAGTAAAGCTTGCAGCTGTAAAGTTTTCTTATATCAGATTCCAAGAAAGAATGAATATTTTCCTTCCCTATTTATATATCATGAACACTATTGGGTATTAGTATCACATAGTATCAGTCTATATATGAAGGTGGATAGATAACCTTCTACTTCAGTGTAATTAACCCACCAATTATATTGCATTATTCAAGATAAAACAAAAACAAGTAGCATCTGGAATAAACATCAAAAGTTCAAAACTGATTACTAGGGAAGAAAATATCGCGGTCCATGGCGAGAATGACTTACCAGAGAAGAGCTCGAAGAAGGTGGAGGAGCGGAGGACGAAAAAGACAGAGGTCGACGACGAGACAAGGTATATACCACACTACCATCAACGGCGCCGTAGAAGATGACTGAGGCAATCCACTAATATTCAGTATTTGTTACTTGCAATCCACACAGACCATTTACCAACTTCCCTTCACTTTTTTTTTTTTTTGGGTACATAACTTCCCTTCATTTGCTAACACGGCATAATAGGATATAAAATTATTGTTTGATTTTTTCATTTCCATTTTTTATTTGTTCTGAGACCCACGCAAGATCACAAAAGTCCTTATGAATGCAAAGAAAATAATAGCTCGGGGAGACCCCGGACTTTTGACACTACTTTTTACCTGGAATGAAGTCTTCAAGCTAAAATATTCTGCTATGTCTATATAATTATATAATATTCTCTACAAATTTAAATCCTTTGAAATTAGGATTTATGAATTCATATGAAATACCCATATAATTCTTCTTTTCGCTTACATGCAACGGATATAAAATCCAGAATGTAATATTTTTTAAAAAAATGCACATTTGGATAATTTTTCTTTCTGTTTTTAGTACAATTTGGTTTGGATAATTTTTCAACAAGCCATGTTTCGGGATGAAATAATTGAATTTTTCCACAAAACCGAACAATGAAAATGGGTTTTGAAATTCTAATGAATTTTTTGTGCCTGAAATTTCAATGCATTAGAATATCACCATGCATACAGATACAAAATTCGTTTATAATTAACATATATCAGTAAAAAAATTATCTCAATGAAAATTATTAAAATACATAATTATCTAGTTAAAAAATATTCTTATCCATCATTTAAAATTAAGTAATATTTTTCACCAAAAAAATTAATTAATATTAATAAAATAATAACAAAGATTCACAAAGTGAAATAATAATAATGTTTTCGACTGTATAATTATTAAATATTATAAAAAATTGCCAACGTCGTGACTGAACCAATAAGGTTGTCAAATCGCAATTTCACCTAAACTTATAATAATAAACTAAACTCATAATTTTTATTTTTAACATTTTCTAACGTTTTCCTTTTCTGTTCTCAGCGTTCTGCCTTTAAAGCCTCCATAAAATCCAAAATTGATCTAGTGTTGATTTAAAATATATGATACTTTGCCCAAAAAAAAAAGTCTATAGCATTAAATTTTTCTTTTTCACAAAAACCCTTATTAATTATATCATAGAGAGAGACTCTATAAAAAAGTTAAAGGTAATTAAGATAGATTAATTTTAATTTTAGGATAATCTTATAAATAAGTGATAAATTTTTACTATTTTAATGATATAATCACAAACCACTTTTAACTTCTTTTCTTAATCCTTATGAAATAGTTAGAAGTGTTGTGTATTTTAAACAAGAAATTAAATAGTAGTTTTTTAATAGCTTCAGTGAAACTTTACGTTAATAATTAAGAATAAATAATTTGTTACTTTGTTTTCATACATACATCACGTCTTTCAGTTTAAAAACTTGGCTACGATATTTATTCATCATGAATAATAAAACTTACTACAAATTTGATGAATGATATTAAAGAAGGCTCAACATAGAGATATATATATATATACTGTGATTTCAAATACTCATAAACAAGAACAGACCATATCCTTTCGTAATATTCATTTAAATAGGAGAAACATGAGTGTCTATGGTGGTCCATCAAGCTCGCAAGCATGATTCTTAGTTTCATTTAGCAGAAACAAAAATATTTTGACTACCTGGCCGAGAGAATGGTCATTGATTCACAATTGACACCATACTGGAGTGAACTGCTTGTTACAACATTGTGTGTCGCATGATCCATCTCCAAAGCTAAACATTCTTGAAGTTCTTGCAATACGTAGGTTATGTCTGGCCTTTGGGCTGGTGTTGGTAAGATGCATGACATTGATATTTCAACAATTTTCCATGCTGATGTAACACCAAATTCTCTAGTTAATCTTGGGTCAACAATGCCATCAATATCCCCACATTCAATTTTAGATTGAACCCAATCAAGAATGAAACAAATATTTTCGAGATTTCTTTTTATTGGAGGACGACCAGTTATTAGTTGAAGAAGAATCATTCCAAAACTATAAATATCACTTTTCTTATTTAGGTTTCCAGATCTTTGAAACCTGCAATGATAAAGACTATTATGTTAAATAATTTTTTTTGTATGAACAATTGGGTTTCAAACATTACTAATAAATGAATTGAAACTAAATATAATGGTGGCCATTTCATCCTTAAGCAAATTCTTAATTAGAGTGTTCGTTAGTACAAAATAAGCACTTACTCAGGATCAATATAGCCAGGTGTGCCAGCTGGTTGAGTTGATAGATGAGAATCTCTATCATTTGAAAATACTCTAGACATTCCAAAATCAGCAATCTTGGCTAGCTTAGATTTATTTAATAAAATATTGGATGGCTTCAAGTCTCTATGAATTATAGGAGTCTTGCAACCATTATGAAGATATTCCAATCCTGCATAACTCCACCAAATCAAATAATTAGGAAGAGAAAAATATAATAAAGCTGGCAAGAAAGGCAAGTGATCTGTAATACAAAAATTTGTCACCTTTTGCTGCATCCACTGCCACTTGAAGCCTCTCATTCCACTTTAAAACATTTGGGTTTCTCTCTACAGACATACAAACTTAATTTTCTCAACAAGAGCGCTTTTTCAATGAGTAATGTACTCCCTTCGGTCTTTATTATAGGATGCCTTATAAAATAATTTTTTTTTGTTATTAATATAAGATACTTGATGTGTACATAAATTCATTATTTTTAATATTATCCATTTTTAAACTCATTAACTATGAGAGAAAATGTAAGACAAATTTGAAAAATTTTCATTTAAATATGGATAAAATTAAAAATTTATTATATTTTGAAACAAAATTAAAATTTAACTGCCTCTACTTAATTCTAATAAAGCAATTAGAGGTGTCTTATAATAAAAACCAAGGCAATATATATATATATATCTATATATATATATATATATATATATATATATATATATCACACTGCATTAAATTTGACCAACCATATCTAATGCATAGGATTAAATGAGTAGTTTGCAGTGAAAGCAGGTACTATCTCAGTATCTTGCCTTCATCATCAATTGATGAGATCATAATAGCTACTTATATAAATACTTCATCTGATCCCTATTAAGGCATATCTAATTATCTCTCATTGGTGTAAGTCATTTGTTTTGTTTGAAAGTAGTATAAACTTTCAATTTTACCACTTTTATTTAAATATAAAAAATTTTGAATTTACATTACATTCTCTCTCATAATTGATGAATTTAAATAAAATAATATTCCCTCCGTTCTAAATTATAAGACATTTTTAAACAAAATTTTATATACCAATAAACCTTATTAAAAAATACCCTTCATTTAATAACCTTAAATCTACACTGAATTAGTATTAAATAGAGAGAGATAAAGGGTAATATTAAAAAAAACTATTTAATGAAACCTTAATATTTTTAAAGCATCTTATATTTTGGGATGATAAACCTCTCTTAAAAGTGTCTTATAATTTGGGATGAAGGAAGTATTAGAAAAATGTAATTAATGCTTTACCAAGTGTATTATATTAAGTAATTATACTTTGCAAAAAATATTTTCAGCATAAGACAAACCTGATAATAGTTGGTCAAGGTCTCCATTATCCATGTATTCATAAACCAGTGCCTTTTTGTCATTTTCATGACAATATCCAACAAGTGAAACCAAGTTTCTATGATAAATAAGTGTCAAGAGTTGAGCCTACAAGTTGAAAGTAAGATCCATCATAAATAAAGAATATTAGTTAATTTGCATATATTTATTAAAAACCTTTGAAAATTTTGACTTGACTTTCATATGTCTAACCTCCGACTGAAATTCCTTGTATCCTTGCTTTGATGATGGAGAAAGTAATTTTACTGCAACCTGAGTATCATCTTCTAAAGTGCTCAAGTAAACTTTCCCAAATCCTCCTTCCCCAATAAGAGTTGTAAAATTGTTGGTGATCCGAAGAACTTCAAAGTAAGAAAATTCTCGATTCTTTTGTTTTACAATTTCCATCTTCTGGGATTTGGCAAAAAAACCTGCAATATTATTTTGAATGTTCTTTTAAACTTCATAAGGAGTAATTAAAATTAACTTGAACCAGCTAGAGAATATATACTAGCTTGGTAGGTTAAAAAATCATAGTTTAAAGCATTTTCCAAAGGTTATCCAATGTGGAAAGACAGAACACAAACACACACACACACACGAAAGCATGCAAGAATTGCAAAACTCATCTCTACTTATGATGACAAAAATGTTCAAAGACAAATCAAGTATAAGTGTTATATATCCCAATGAAATGACAACGGATATAAAAATAGATACCTAGCCTTTTCTTTTTGATTCTCCAGATCATTAGAGAAAGAATGGCAATTAGGACCAAAACTGCAATTGATGCAATAAGAGGAATTACAAACTTGTGTTTTTTGCATGAATCTTTCTGACAAAGGCCTGGATTGTCAGCTACACTGGTAAAATAGGAAGATAGAAAGTATTAGAAGTTGAGCAACTAAAGAGAAATAACATGTATTGCACATGCATTTTCATAGAAGTTATGGAAGTTGAGGCCAAATTAAGCATATTGTTCTTAAACAAATTAAAAAAGAGAATCTCATTCCTATTCTAAGTGATTTATTGTGGTTATATTTAGCTTCGCATATAACTAATAAGGCAATGGTACCCAAATTTGAGCATATGTACATGTATGGCGTACAATATGATACAATATGTTGAATCAACAATTAGGATATAGATATAACATATATATATTCAATAAATAATCACTTGAAAAATGAAGAATGTAAAAATTATGAGTTTTCACCAAGAATTTAAAAAGTAATACAAAGGTATTCATACCAAATAATAAAACAGAGTTTTATGTAAATTCAAGAGTTGTTTTGAAATATTTCGGACAAAAAAAACTAATAGTAAAAAGTATAAAATAATGTAAAATACATTATGCACATCATGAAATATAATATTGTATTATATTTATATACATATACAGTACAAATGTCTACTTTAGCATTGGCGTAGCACATGGCATTATTGCTCCATGACTCCTAACTTCTAGAATATTTATAATTTATAAGAAAGTAAGAATTTAATCCATTTTGTTCTCTTTCTTCCATATATTCCCCAAATTATCAAGAAAGAATGGTAATCAAGAAAAAAATTAATGATTCAATTTGGCCATATACTATAAAAAAAACTAGAATACGATGAATTTGATGTTGAAGACAAGTAAATCAACCTTAGTTGCAAATTATCTTTTTCCCTTAAAGTCTTGGGTATCGAACCTGTAAGCTTATTTCCTGACACATTACTGCAAGATGGCAAAAGGAAAGTGAACTTTTGAGATTCATGACTTCATATTGAGAGCATTAAAATCTGTAATATAATGCAATATTAATAATCAGGGTCTTACATAAATTTTAAATTAGGAAGAGTTGCTAGAAATTCTGGTAATTGTCCGGTCAATTCATTGTTTGACAAATCCCTATGAACAAGAAGCTAATTAATTACTCTTAACAGATTTGAGTATCCACAACCTATCTCGTTTAGCAACTTACAGCGACTCTAGATTTCCCAAACCAGCAAACCATGCAGAAATTTGCCCTGTGAGTTTGCTTGAGCTCAAGTTCCTACAATTTGTAATTATAAAGTTTTGCCATCATTGTAAACAACTAAAGGAGGCAAACAAAAGGGAAATCTGTATACGAGACATTCTCCTCAACTGTGTTAAATATATCAGATCATACGAAAAACAAAACAAAACAAAAGGCAAGAGTAGTGTATAGCACTACTTACAAGGAAAGAATCCTTATATTGTTGCCTGAGCTGCAACTTAGACCATCCCAAGCTAAGTTAGTTGGAACACAAGGGTCGCCTTGCCAACTGATTCTAGAGACTCCATAAATGTCCTTAATTTCTATGATGGCATTAACTATATAATTTCCAATAAAAAGATAAATACCCAATGGAGTAATTTAATGATAATCGAAACAAAAGAATGGGGAAAAAAATAAAATCAAAAACATCTCGTGTATCTGTAGGGAAATGCAGTTGCGGAATGGCTTTGTAAATTTCAAAGGCATTAACGATAGGGGGAGCATCTGAATTAGTTGCAGCTTCAACTGTAAAGCTAGCATAACTTTTAGTGATCTTGTTGGATCTAAGGCTAACAGGCTTCAAGTATTCAAGAGTAAGTTCCTGAGAGGTGAAATTTTCATCATAAAAAGTGACATTGATGATCCTCTTGCGGCCAGGAGGAAGCTTTTGGATTTCAGCAAAGTGAAGGAACAGATAATATTGATGGGATATGTTGTCACTCCAATTTGAAATTAAGAAACTAGATTTGTTTAGGGGCTGCGATGCAGTGCGTAGGAGTTCTGATGGCAGCCCATAAGTGGAGTCTTTTGGCTTTATTTGTGCATTTGTTTTTAAGGGATCAGTAAGTTCACCATCATTTATGAACCATAAGCGATCGTACACATCGTCCTTGTATCTACATTTTTAAAAACAATCAAGCAAAATTAAAGCATCATGTCACGGGGATAAAAAAAGCAAATGCATCATCAAAACAATAGAAAATAAATTGAGAAAATTATTGATCTCATGTTTGAAGAGAGTGAATATATTCAAATTATGAAGGTAAAAAAATATATTCAAATCATCAAAATATATCGAATCAACAATCAATAATTTATTTATTTTGTATACTTTTTCCGTGTAGCTTAACGTAAGCGATAATTAATTTTATCAATAACCTCTTATATTTTCAAGTCTTCTTCAAAAATTTACAATTTAACAAAGGTAAAGAATACTTAAGTCCAATTGTAATTATAAAAGATGGGCTTATAGATATTGGCTTCTATATTTAAAATGCTGACATGTAAATATGAAAGTATTATATATGTTAATTAAGACTTGATGATGGAAGAAAAATGAACACATTCTTGATGATTATGATTGAACATTGCAACAACATAACCCTTCACTTAAAGGATTAACAACAACAGATTATCAAAAAAAAAAAAAAAGGGTTAACAACAACAATTCATTCCTTCACTCAAGGGTGAACATTAAGATCCCAAACTATGGAGACCAATCTTGATGGATTACATTCAATTTCCCTACCTACAAGACTAAGCTTCAACTATATATATAAGTATAAGCTAATAACTAATCATGATTAACTAACAACTAATTATGATTAACAACTAATATTCCAACATATTAATATTTTGATAAAAATTATATGAGAAATTAAATATTATTTTTTGACGCGCAAGACGGTCTAGTAACGGTTCATCAATCTCAATCAAAGGCAAATCAATACAAGTCAAAAAGGCAGGTCAAAGGATGTATTTGTCATTTTCTATGTACGTGCAAATCAATAAAGAGAAAATGGTAGTGGGGGTACCAAAGGAAGGGAGGTGGGGGACAATGAGAAACCTAAACCTCACTACTTTTTTCAACGCTTCACTATCATTCTTTATAGAATTATGTTTAAAAGTGAGAAAATTAATTACTCCAAAATTTATTAATAATTAAACTAAAATCAATAACAATACTTATCAATAATTTTAATTCAATTGTTAATAAATTTGGAGTAATTAATTTTTATGTGTGGGATGTATATATAATTTCATTTCTTCCTTTAATAAATCTCTGGAATGGAATAAGGAATTCTAAAAGAGAATGGCTACACGGTTCCACGAATCACAATAGACCTATGCGATTTTTTCCTATTCCTATTGCAGAACATCTGGCCATCCATACTGTACTTATAACTCTTTTCAAGCCTCAGGCTTGCCGTTTGTACCCCAAAAAACAAAACGCAATTGCAACCAAATTCTAAGCGACTTGTCAGTAGTTTATGAATAAATTCTTGAGACATATTTCTTTTTTTGGTAAGAAATGGGCCGAAGTTTCGGCCTGTTATTCAATTCTTGAGACATATTCCTAAGTAAATCTCTATTTGGAATATATTCATATTTCCCTCCTACTTTCAATGTTTAAAAATTATAAACTTTTGAATTAATTACGATAATCAATATGTTAATATTAAATGTAAAATTTATACCAAAACGTAATATTCATAGGTTACAAGTGTAAGTTATAAAAAGTATAGTTCCATTCAAATTCTTTATGACACATAAAATATTCCTGATTGGACAAAATTATACATGAAAGTTATTGTAGATGGAATAGAAAGATTTAAGTATGATGACCTGGTGAAGGTGCGAGCAAACCCAGAGCCAACATCCTTTCTTACCGCAAGAGCCTAAGGGAAGTGGAGCAGAATAGAGAGAGTTGTTCACCGGCCTTAATTCCAACGTATTAATGAAAGGTGTGCCTTGTCCTGTGTTTACCAAACACACCTGTACCGCCCCAGTGGGAACCTCTTGGATTATTATATCATAGAATTGGAAGAAATTACGCGGCAGCTAATCGCACTGTGTCCCAATAATTGACTCCAACGTAGAGGTCGAAAATTGGAACTTGGCTTTTGTAGTCATAATTCTCATATGCAAATATAGCTCTGATCAAATACTTGTGTTCCTGATTCTCTAGTTTTAGTTTCAGAGTGTAACAGTTTCTGTCTCCCTCCGGAAAACTTCTCAGTGTCATTAGCTGTCGCTCTATGGTTGGAACATTGTGGAAGTTAACGTTGGGGGGTAACTCATAATTTGTTCCGCTTCCAATGAAGTCTTCATCTGTCTGGTACCGAATCCCCGTTACTTCGTCTACGTAATCTGTGCTTGCTCCACAGTCTATGCTTATGAAACCTGCACGCACTCAAACACGCACGCAGGCACGAACGCTCCATATTTTCAGCTCTTGGCATGTACCAGAAAACCATATGCACGAATACATCAAAAACAAATTAAATGTTTATCCGCTCATACGCCAGATTTTTTTATGATTAAATAATATCTGCATTTAAAATTCACAATCATGCGAGCAACATATAATTTGAATAAAATTTGAAAACCTTGATAAGCGCTTACCTGAATTACCGCCGTCTGCATCAGCCTTTGTTGATTGGCCAGTTATTTGGAAGGAAACAAAGACATAGAGGGCGAGAATCCACTGTGGCTTGCTCTCCATGTTTTTTCAAGTTTAAAGGAAAGAGGAAATGAGAGATGAAGTGGGTATGCAGCTGCTCTGCTTTCAGAAGCAGATCATAAATGAGTGAGTATATATCTATAAACGGGTGAGTATAAATAGATAATTACGAGAGAGAAAAAGACTCATGTAACATGAGTATTTTTGTTGTAAATAAATAAATAGAATTGTTCATGACATGATAATCTTGGATATGTACTGACACATACATCCTTAACATCACTGACAAAATGTAAATGGGAGAGGAAATTTTTGAAATATTTGCCAAAACATATTTTAAAATGTAAATATTTGCCAATCGTGTAAAAAGCGAAAACATTTTTTTTAAAAAAAATAAGAGGGCAGCAAATGAAATTTAATCGTACTGAAAAGTTAATAAAATTTAATCACATTCTTTCTTGTGTCAAGACGTGATATTTTTTAAAATAAGATCATAAACTAATTTTTTGAAAAAATGTGAATGATTAAAAATATCTTATACTCCCTGCAATAAAAAATATAAAGTATTTTTAATCAAACTCACCCCCTAATAAAATAGTTGCTAATTTTTAAATTAATATCATCTTTTTATATCTACCCCTATTTAGTAAGATATTTTACTTTAAAATAAACATAAAATAATTTATTTATTAGGAGAAATTTTAAAAAAGGTAATGATTGTACCTTAAAAATATTAAAATTGTCTTATATTTTTTAACATCAAACCCTTCAAAAAATGTGTTATATTTTTTAATTGAGGGAGTAAGTAAAATTGGATTGGAGGGAGTAATAAAAATTATTAATAATTATATTAATTCATTTTTCAAATTGAATTGACCAAGTTAACCTATTGCATGCATGATAAGATAGGGCTCGTTTGGATTTCAGTTGGGTATAATTGATTATAAAAATAATCGATTAATATGATTAATTTTAATTATAATTGATTATATTATAATACAATATGTTTGGCTTCTGAAATTTATTTCAGCTGTAAAAATTACTATAAAAACATTACTTTTTAAAATTAAATTATTGATAAAGTTATATTTAATATTATTAAATTTGTTAAACTTTATTTAAGAAGTAAATAGTAAAATTAAATTTATAAGTAATCTCCTAAAACTTATTTCAAAACGTGATTTTAATTTAATAACTAATTATTAAATTAATTAGCTGTTTGGATCATTTTTCTGAAAATCGATTATTGATTTTTTTGTCAATCCAAGCAGACGGATAATCATTTACTACTAACTACGTTGCTTACTCTTTTATTCTCGTAACTTTCTGCCGTGTGGGATGGTTGAGCTTTTTTCCCCCTTTCTTTCGTGAAAGATGTGCCAAAGACACTCCTTAGAATCATGAGAAAAATTGCACGTAAATTAAAGTTGGAAAATCACTTAAAAAGACCAAGGACTTAAAACAGGAGCGGAATCAGCGAGGATATAGACGGGGGCCCAAATTTAATCTTATTATCTAAAAAATATAAGATAATAATTATGTATAATTATAAAAAAATTTAAAAAATATAAATATAAATATAAAGAATATATATATATATAAAGTGTATACTTATAATATACTTAAACAAACATTGATCAATATACATGCAATTTAAATAATAAAAAATAAACTTATTCAAGTTTTTTAATAATTTAGTAAAAACTAAAAAGCCTAACAAACATATTTAATACAAATTTTAAGATTTATTCTTTTTACACGAAGAGCTGACATCATAAAGTAATAATACAAACAATATTTGTATAACCTAGTAAAATATGTACTTTATATGTATTTAATGGACCAACAAGATATTGTATTTATGTGTTATAAAAAAAAGAAATTGTATTTATATAGTTATGCATGTATATGAATGTTTGTTTGTAGGGTCTGGATTTTTATTTTATAAAATATTGGAAGGGTGTGATTTTTTTGGGGGAGGGGAGCCAAAGCCTCATTGGCCATGCGGAGCACATCTGACACCATCACCACTGAAGCAATTTGAACAGTCTAGATTAAATTATTTTTTATTTTTATTTTTTAAATAAAAATTTATAAAATTTAAAATAAATATATTTATTAATTATTATTAACATGTATCATTTATATTTAATCAGATGAGTTTAAATTTAATATTAATTTTTTTATAATTTTTGATAAATTGATCATAAAGATTTGGTTTGTAGTGTTTAGATTTAAAATTTTTAATTGATTATACTATCAGATTCAAAACAATTCAGAGTAAATCAGTATCATCAATTTATAAAAATTATACAAAAAATTAATATTAAATTTAAACTAATTTGATTAAATATGAATAGTACATGCTAATAATAAATATATTTATTTAAAATTTTATAATTTTTTATTTTAAAAAATATAAAAAATTTAAAAAGACTAGTTTAATTTGGATTGTCCAAATTAAATCTAGACAATCTAGATTGTTTTAAGGGTGACACGAACACTAAATGTGCTCCCATTGGCCATGCCAATTATTCGCTAAAAATTATGAGCTTCTGACAAGTCGAGGGGCTTTACTTAATTTTGGCCCTAACTTAAAATAAACAAGCATAGGTCCACAGAAATTAAGGTTTCATTATAGGATAATTTAAGTTAAGAATGATCATAGAGACTTAATTTTATATGGATTTTAAAAAATTTAAAAATTTTAATTCGATTTCTAGGAGAAAAATCAAAAAAATTTTGATGGTAAAAAGATTAAAATACTTTCACTTGTTATACAAAATTATTAATTTTTAATGTTCTTACTCCACTTGTTAATTTATGAATATAAGTTATAAATTATATGAATTGATATGTCAATAATTATATAAGACTCAATATAAATTTTTTAATCATAAATAACAACGTCAGTGATTAAATTACTAACATTACTTATTAATTTATTAATATTAACTATAAATTATTGAAAATATTAATAATTTACATGTCATGTAATTTACTAAAAATAACCACATGACATGTTATTAATTTATAATTAATATTACTAAATTTATAAAAAAAATTAACAAATTAATAATTAATGTTAATGATTATAATATAATTTATAAGTGGTATTAATAAATTAACAAATATAATAAAAAATTAATAATTAATAATTTTATATAATCAATGAAAATATTTTTATATTTTTATTATCAAAATTTTTTTAACTTTCATTCTTTAATGAATTGAAATTTTAATTTTTTTTTTATATTCAATTCTCCCTCTCATTATTGCGGAACTATTGTGACGCGGATAGACGATGCCCCTTGACAAAGTCACCACCAACTTCTACCCCTCAGTTTGCGGTGATTGGACATTTTGTCAGGAAATTGCAGAAGACAGCGAATATCAAGAGACGAAAGCTACAGATGTCAATTATGAGGGAGCGCAAAGTCGTTTCTAATGCCGCTGTTTCTTGTGGTGGTTGGACATTTCCACGTTTCAGTCGGTTCAATCATAAAGGCTTTCTTCGTTTACTTGGGCTGGGTCGAGCCTTCTAACGCGTAATCTGGTCTCTTATATGAGTAGAATTAGGTTGAGTTACTCATAGATTTAGATTTAAATCAAAATTAAACAAGACGAGACTTGATGTTGATGATTGAGAGGCTGATCTCCATAGCAATGTTTTAAAATCTGAATCGGACAGTGAATCAAAAATGTCAATGGGTCACAGGTTTCATAGTTCAACCTGTCGAACCGGTAGTCGGACCGATGATCTAATAATTAAATAAAAAATAACATATATATATATATATATATATTTAAAATACCACCCAAGTTTTTAATACAACAAGCTAGCAAAAATATACCACCACCCAAATCTTTCAAAACACCCAAGTCATTAATACAACAAAAACACTATAATATGTTTTGGTCAAGTCATTAACATAATGCAGGAAGTTCACAAGTACGACAATCTACAATTCACAAGCCTAACATTATAAGATAACTAATAATTTCATCACTTTTCAAAGATATTGGCAGATCTTTGTCAATCCACTTAATTAATCTAAGCATGGTTAGGCTCGAAAGCATCAGCATCTGTATTATAACTATCATCATCTTCCTAACCAAATGATCTTAAATCAATCCTTTCACCCTCTACCATATTCACTCTTTTTTGATCATCTTCATAAACAAATGCATCAAAGTGATCAAACCAGATTACAACATTATTAAGAGTAATATAATAAAAGTGACAGCATATAATAAAGCTCTCAAAAAAGTTCAAATTCAAACCTTTCTCTTCCTGCTGCGAAATAATAGCTCTTGGTAGTGTTTGCTCATCATAAAGGAGATCTCCTTCTATCTCATCAGCATGAAGTAAAGAAGGATCATCTTCTTTTATTACCCAATACTCAATTTTATCAACACTTTCAAAATCAACAGGATCAATTGTTTTTCTTCTGTTAGCAACTTTAAAATACACATGACAATAGCAAACTATAAGAACTCATTCATCCAATCTTTATGAATGCAAATTAACATAAAGCTTTAAATAATATACCTATTCTTTAAGCAAAATTGTAATGAACATATACAAGATCATTTAACCTTTGATGCTTTAATTTATTTCTTTTCTTGGAGTGTATTCTTTCAAAGACACTCTAATTCCTTTCACAACCAGATGAAGATGTAGTTAGACTTAACAATTTAATAGCTAAGTTTTTAACATTCGAATAACTACTTTCAAAATATCACCACCATTAATCTGCCATGTTAAAGATAAAGTTATTATAAGAGATTTTACAGATAAAGTTGCAAGATAATAAATACGAAAGATAAATATATAAATCTTTACTTTACCAGGTCGCATTGATTCTGTAGATTCAATAGCCAATGGATGACTGAAGCTACCACTCTTTTCTTGATATTGTGTGCCTTCGTACAAGAACTTGGTCTTATTAGAAGAGACTTTCTTATCTATAACAGTAAGATATCCTTGCATAATCTTTGGCTTTTGAGAAAAGTTTTCTTTATCATAAAGAAAGGCAGGATTGAAGACATAAGCAGCTACATGAAGATTTTGTCGGAGCTGAGAATCCCACCTTTTCTTA